AAGGAAGCTTGGTTTTCTGTTAGATCGACGAGAATGGTGACGGCTTCATCAACCTCACAGAGTTGCGAAGCGCTCTGGACATCTGTGGCTTCAAAATGCCCGGTTACAAGGTCCGTCAGATGATCGAGGAGTACGACGACAAACAGAGGTCGGAGCACAAGGGCCGATTGTCCTTCGAGGAGTTCGAGAAACTTTGCAAGGAGCTGAAGGCGAACGAACTGGGATCCACGTTCAAACAGGTTGTCTCGAAGAAGGAGAATCTAGAGACACTTGGTGGAATCTCCGAGGCGTCCAGCGAAGGGACCACGCACTCTGTCAGATTGGAGGAGCAACTTGCTTTCAGCGACTGGATCAACACGAATCTGTCGCACGATCCGGACTTGAAACACCTGCTGCCCATCGATCCAGAAGGCAAGACCCTGTACGAGAAGGTTAAAGACGGCATTCTTCTTTGGTACGTATTCAGTCTTGTATTATATGTAAATTGAATTGCCCATTGATACGTTCACAGTAACGTGATCTGTTGGTAAAGTACGATTAAATACAATAAATAGCGAATTCTGTCGCTAGATTTTCAAGATTAATCTGTCTATGAACTCGGTATTAATCGTTATCAATCCCTCTATTTTAGCAAGATAATCAACCACTCTTGCCCGGACACGATCGATGAGCGAACGATCAATAAGAAGAACCTGACCCTCTACAAGAAACACGAGAATCTAACCCTGGCGCTATCATCCGCCCAGGCGATCGGTTGCAACATCGTGAACATCGACGCTCACGATCTGACGAAGGGCTCGCCTCACTTGGTCCTGGGCCTGCTCTGGCAAATCATACGAATCGGCCTGTTCAATCAGATCACCCTGGAGAATTGCCCGGGGCTGGCCACCCTTTTACAAGACGGCGAACGCATCGAGGATCTTCTGAAATTATCGCCAGAGTCGATTCTGCTCAGATGGGTGAACCATCATCTGGAGAACGCTGGTATCGCCAGGCGATGCCACAACTTCCAGTCGGACATCACCGACTCGGAGATCTACACGTACCTCATCAAGCAAATCGCACCGAACACAGCCGGCGTCACGTTGGAAGCTCTGATGGAGCCGAACCACACCTCCCGAGCGGAAATTATGTTGCAACAGGCGGCCAAGTTGGGCTGCCGTAGCTTCGTAACGCCGAGCGACGTGGTCAACGGCATCTACAAGCTGAATCTCGCCTTCGTCGCCAACATGTTCAACAACTACCCGGGTCTCGACAAACCGGAGAGCAACATCGAGGGCTTGGAATCGTTGGAGGAGACCAGGGAGGAGAAAACCTATCGAAATTGGATGAACTCGATGGGCGTGGTGCCTCACGTGAACTGGCTGTACTCCGACCTGGCGGATGGCTTGGTGATCTTCCAGCTTTACGACATCATCAAACCCGGCACCGTGAACTGGAACCGGGTGCACAAGAAGTTCACGAAGCTGCGCAAGTTCATGGAGAAGCTGGAGAACTGCAATTACGCGGTCGAGCTTGGCAAGACGATGATGAACTTCTCGTTGGTCGGAATCGCTGGCCAGGACATCAACGACGGGAACGCCACGTTGACACTGGCGTTGATCTGGCAATTGATGAGATCGTACACGTTGTCCATTCTCACGTCGCTGGCAGGCACCCAGGGTAGCACCGTCGTCGAGAAGGAGATCGTTCAGTGGGTGAACTCGAAGCTGCAATCGGCGGGCAAAACGAGCGGGATCAAAGGTTTCCAGGACTCGACGATAGCCGATGGGAAAGTGGTCATCGACCTGATCGACGCCATTAAACCGGGCTCGGTGAATTACGATCTCGTGAAGGAGGGTGGAACCGAAGAGGTGAGACGTACGAATTGTACACCTTCGGAATCGTCTCGAAGTAGCAGGTTTGGTCGATCTCGTTTACTTTGAAGCTGTTTCATTGAACATCGGCGATTGTTGCACGTCATTGAGTTCGTAAATGCCTTGGTTTGAGAGTAGGTTAATACTTGGTGGAGAAATACGGAGTCAAATGTAGCTTTTTACTTAAACTTTCGAAAATTTTGTCCAACTGTAATATGTCGTTATCTCAAGAATTGCAAGTAACTTGTCAATCAAATGATTCAGTTAGAAAACAAGTGGTCTGTTATACAAATGCAAGGTGAAGTTCAAAAACTCTTTCGTATTTTCCACCATTTGAACAAACTTCAAAAATTCAAAGTCATCGAAAAAATCAGCATAAAGAGAGACAAATCTACCAAACCATTGTTTCGTTCGTTGCGCATGACTAATCAACGTCATATATTTCATATTCTTCTTAACAATGCAGGAGAACCTGGACAACGCGAAGTACGCGATATCCTTGGCCCGGAAATGCGGCGCGCGCGTGTACGCGCTACCAGAGGACATAACCGAGGTGAAGCCGAAGATGGTGATGACTGTGTTCGCTTGCTTGATGGCGATGGACTACATCCCCAATATGGACTCCGTGAAACAGCAGAACAACGTTGCGAACAATATTGCGAACAACAGTCAATAATGTCGCGTCGCGTCGCGTGCGTGCGTGCGTGCGTGCGATTCATCCGCGAGATGGATCTTCTCTCGGGATGATGGACTGTGTCGACTGAGTCACGATTTGTGCGAATCGTGTCTCTTCAACGAGCGTAATTATTGTATATACACACACTCACATAGACACACACA